TGGAAGTTGTCTTAGCTTCATCTATTCGGAATCTCCCATTTTCCATTTGAAGAAACGAAGGTGGAGAAATGGTAGTTGGCTTCAGATTACAGTTATTCCGTGTCAGAACTGGAATCCAGGGCTCATTACACTAATGAAACTCAGAAGAAAAGAATGCATTGATGTGGATGGATATCGGTTGGGTGTCAGGGATTGGAAAGCCCCGGTGGCACAGTGGGTCCCTCACTGGGCTGCAAACCACAAGACCAGCATTTAGAAACCACTGGCTAGCGGATTAGGAGCTGCACTGCTGGCCACAAAGCAGTTAGAAACAGCCGGCCTTTCCTGGGGAGAAAGTTAAGGCTTCCTATTCCCAGAAAGAGGTCCAATCTCAGAAAGCCACAGGGGCTGTGCCATTGTACTCTGTCCTATAGGCTCATGACGCGTCAGCATTGACTCGGTGGCAGTGAGGATAGAATAGTAGGGTCAGGGATTGTAAAGGGTCACATAGCAAAGAGACTGGCTGGCTTTCAGCATGGAAAAAGGATTAGATGTTTTAAATATATAGATGGCAAAGGGAACATAGAAATGCTTCCTCTGAAATATTCGTAATTCTTTCAAGAAACATTGTGTGCCCGTTGACATTAGATATCAAGAATACCAAGATGAATAAAACATGCTTTTTGCTGAGCTTTATAGAATAATGCAATATAGCTTTAATTTCCCAATGAGGAGGTATGTAGGAGAATGTGAAAAGTTATTTGTGAACGGAAATCTATTCAGGGAAAAGGAAGGCATGAAATGCACTAAAATGAATGATTCCAATGCTTTATAGCAAACGGATTCTCCCTTATGGGAAATTTGATGTCTACTGTGAGATTATTTAAAGTAGATGTTTCTTTGAGTGTGGCTCCGTTGAAGACAGATGATTCTGACTATGGGAGCTTTTTATTAAAGGCTTCCTTGTCTAGGCAGATGACGCCCAGGCTACATCTGATATGTTCATGACCATGGAAATGTGAACAGCGGGCTGGGGGATGGGGCAGTGACAGAAGGAGTAGAGAGAGCTTACTTTTAAGTTCAATTTGCCTGCTGCCTCTTTCCGCTTAGGTTCTAAGAGTGCAGAGATCATCTGCATGGTTAAATGGCTCTTTCCATTCCCACTTTACAGGCATAACAGAAGTCATTTTTATGTATGCATATATTGTTTCTTCCTAAACACTTTGTGGAATTGTATTAAATTCCTTATTTCAAGAGGAAGCAAGGGAGGAAGTCCTTATAGGTCAGCTGGTCGACCCCCTCCGTTTTATAGCAAAAGTGGTCGGCTGAGCTAGCATACTTGACTTGGGCCACAATAACCCAGATTTGCTAACCCTTGGCCTGGCGTGATTACATGTGTTTACGGAATCATGAAAATCCCATTTCATAAGTGGTGAGATGGCATACGGAGGAGCGACTTTTTGTCTGATCATTGGGTTGTGGCAGGGTGGACACAAACACGCGTGGTGTCTTCCGGTCCTGGCTTGGGGTAACCTCGTAACTTCCCTAGTAAAGCAAACTCACGACTGTCCAGTCGATGCTGACTCCCCCAACTCCCTCAGGGGTTCCATGACTGTAACTGTTTACCTGAGTAGAAAGTCTTTCTCTCACAGAGCAGCTGGTGGTGTCAAGCTGCTGACCTTGCGATTCATAACCCAACTGGTAACAACTGTAGCACCAGGGCTCGAGATACAAAGACCAGAGCCCTTGTTCTTTCCGGCTCTGCAGTGTGTAGCAGAGGAAACAGCCAAGTACTTAGCCTCCAGAGCTGAGGGGATTGACCTCAAACATAATGACAGACGCAGGTCAAATCCTCTGGTGGGGGCGCTGCTGTGGCCAAGGGCTGGACATAGCTAAGGCT